TTGTTAATTTTTTTTTTTTTTTTTTTTTTTTTTTTCCCTGCTGGTTAAATACATTTGATAGATATTTCGAAGCATTCAAAAGATGGAAATATTTAACACAAACTTATTTTACTGCCAGGAATTTTAAGGCTCCAAACTGGTGGATGCATTTGGCAAACATCCTCGTCCAAAGCCACTAAATGATACAACGCTTTTCTAGATACAGCATGATATTCTTATTTTTCATTAGTAGCTAGAGCATGCTATTCCTCCCTGTGCCTGAGGTGACTACGAGCTGATAGTTGTGTCTCACTTGCCTGTATCAGCCTTTCATCTGAGAAGTGCTAATTTTAACCAAAAAGGACATGAGAAACGTCTTTTTATGCTCCATCCCAGTGTTCACAGAAGGAAGTGCATGCCGCAGAAGTAGGGAGGCTTTTGCTACAATTAGCAGGTTGCTGGCTACACACACGTCGGTATTTGCAGGATTAGATCAGAATTCCTTGGGACACAGTTATATTCATGTTTAACAATGTTGGTTTTGTGCAGCTGGCACTGCCGTGCGCGTTGTTTCGAACAACTTGTGCTAAACACCCACCAGCAGGACTGGAGCTTCTTGGTTCTGGGGCAGTATGTGTTTTAAAAAGTAATACTTAGCTCAGCGTCCTTTATGAGACTCACACAGGCTGCCTGACATGAAGGTTGACATTGTGCCTACTTTAAACGTGGTGCAGTAACAAAGAAAGTTCTATGAAACAGGCCAGCCTGGAGCTGGCATAAACGGGATTATCATCTGTGTTTTGCCCAAACAAACTCCCATCACATTTCACCAAAATACCTTAACTAGTCACACTAATGATTACAGATATGATTTATACTATTTGTTACTGAAATTGGGTTAAAGGAAAATGCTTTTCATTTTCCAGAAATGAGCAGTTTAAGAGCCTTTTTGAGGTGCAATGGAATTACGTCTAGTACAGAAATGGCAAGAGGTCCTTCAGTATGCACCAGCACTTGGAGCATAACTAACAGCCTCACAGGAAAACTTTTTTTAAAACTGAAAAGTGGTTAATAACTTTCTTGAAAAATTATGATATTATTGGAAAATAAAAAATGAAGGAATGCACTTTTTTTTTGTAAATTGGCTAAGAACATCTCCCCTGATGTCCCACATTGTTGTGCTAAATGCTAAAATTCAGAAATGTTGCATTAAACATATGTAATAGGATTGGCTTGCCTTTTGAATGCAGGAGAAATCCAGGCAGAAAGCCCCATAGGAATTCAGTTATTTCGTCTATACTGCAGTACATGAGGACGAGTTTTATACTTTATGAAAAGTAAAATTATTTCTATTTCTCTACAGGAAAAACAAAATCAAATGCACAATGGCTGTTGTGACTTTAGGAGTGACCATTTAAAGGCTGTAGTAGAGAAGGAGTGCTGTTTCCCAAGATTATGTCTTTTTTCTTATATTTTTTTGTGTCCAATTTTACTACTGCTGGCATATGCTCAGCCCCCACATAAGGATTTTTTTTTTTGTGTAAGTTAACTGCTTTTTGTACAGAACAGTGTCAGCCTCAGCACTTCCCAAACACAAGCCATTTTTCAGCAGGTCTAAAATTATCTTGAAGTTGCAGCTGGAACCCTTCACCTCAGTGAGTTTTTCTATAGCTTTCCGGATGTTAACTCTACCCAAACCACAGCCTGTCATTAGGATCACCAGGATTCCAGTCTGGGTGGAAACTATGGTAGCAGCACGAAAAACCCCACTGAAGTGCAGGGACCTTCAGAAGACATCAGCTTTCACGAATGCCTTGAAAGTGGTATCAATAACAGTTTGTGAAAAATCTGCTTGCAGCAAAGCAATCTGGTAGCTAATCTTGCGATGGCTTGCTCAGGAATGCATGGTTTATTATTAAAGTAACCTTTTAAGATTTTATTGGAATGTGCTTCCACAGAGATGTTTTTTACCTTTGTGTGCTTTACTATATGCGTGTCATCTTGTCCATAATTAAACTTTTCACTGACAGACCTGGAACTTTTTTTCCTTAAACCTCCCACTTTGAATGCTGGAATTTCATTTGAACTTTAAATACTTCCTTGGAATTTGCCATAAGGTAAACTGTCTGCTCCCATACACTTTCCTGCACTGCTACAGACATTGCAGATGCACAATAAATGAATGTAAGAGAACTTGCAAACTTGTGTCTTACTGTTAAAAAAAGGCTGACAGGAATGAAATAGTTGTTCAGACAGTCGTGTTATCCCTAGAGCATTCTCACTTTGGAATATGTGGGGAAAAAATAATGGGAAACTGCCCTAGAAAGTACATTTTCAGTGAAGCTTCACTGCTGACAGCTGGAAAAGGTGAAGTATGACAAAGGAAACATGAAGGAAGAATTTGTACTTCAGCCTTTGGACTTCTCAGCCAAGTTTCTCATGTGACTTGGACTTGCTGACCACTTCTTTTTATAAATTCAGTTAAAGATAAAGTCCACAGAGTATCTGAAGCAAAAAGCTTCCTTGCTGTTTTAAAATCTGAACTTACAATCTATAGTTAATTTTAGTACAGCTTTAGGCATATCTCCAGGAAATGCACATTGATAACCTCAATACCCAAATGCTGGTTCATCAAAAGACCTCAAACTTCTCTTGAAAATATTTTATCCTGGAATCAAGGATAGACTTGAATAATTATTTAATTGAAGGCTTGTTTCTTGAGGCCCAAATCTGGGTGTTTCAGACTCAGACTGCCACAGGGATTTAAACTGGTAATGTGTTCAGCAACTCAGAAGTGATTGAGTTGGAGAAGTGTAAGAGCTGTTGAGACGCAAATGAAGTAAAACTACTCTAAGTCTGTGCCTTAGCCACTGAGGTAAATCCAATTATTTTAGATTGCTACCAGTGGTATTTGCCAACAGGTGAAGCTGACAGCTCTCTTACCTGATGACTACTAATGTGTGGCTGAGAGTGGCTAATTTCCAGCACTAGTTTACTGTCTGACTTGCCTCAGGTAGGAATACTGGAGGAGGAGATGGTGAATTTTAGGACTAGCAGCATATGCCTTGCCACTGCTGCAGCCCTCCAGCTCCTCCAGAACAAGAGGTTCATTGAGTTGTTCAGTGGTTTTTTTTTAATATCCTCTCATCTGCAGCCATGTTTTCCCTCAGGACCGTGAATTTGTCCGAGCAGAAAACATATTGGTAGGCAATATTATCTCATTTGAAAGAGTGCATTACCCCGACCCAGGTTAGGTAAATAAACAGAGTATTTTGTTTGGCAGCCATCAAGATCAAGAAGGGCCAATACCTAAGCCATGGTCTCTGACTGTGAGGCTACTCTTTAAATAGTGGGAGGTGACTTCTTTCTCTCTTGACAAAGCATGGCCAGAATCTGTGGCCTGGTTGACAGTACATGTGCACATACATTCCTGCTTTCAGGAAGGGATCTTGGCCATGGTGTGCTTCTTCTCTGGAGAGGTGTTATGTCCAGAAGAGAGGGAGAATTTCAGAACATTCTTCTTGGCAGTGATTCCCATTGGCTGGCTGCAGCTCCTTCTGTTTTTGTGTATTACATATTCTGGCTCTGTTTTTTGAGTCCACAGCTGGTGCTTGACTTTTGGGCTTTATAATATTTAGCATCCAAACATGTGAGCCTCTTCTGGGGTCTGGCTCATTATTTCTAACCTGTTAAATGGAGTTTGACAGTTGACTTTCTTAGCTATGTTTGCAAATTCTGGTTAAAATGACTTGATTATAAATCATCTAGATAGTTTTACAAACCACTCTTACTTAACAAGTCTTACTCCTTTCAGTTAATTGAAAGCTGTCTTTGATGTGCTGCATGATTCTCTGTCTCTATGTGTCAGTGTGAAAGCTTGTCCTCAACCCTTGTGATTTGTAAAGCAAAGTTACATAAATTAGGCATTATATGCAATTTAGATCTTAGAAAATTTAGAAAAATGTATTTAAATCCACAGGATCTTATTTGATGTAACATAATTGGGTGTAGGCATCCTTGCCAATATGGGTTCTGTCACATTTTTGAAGATTGTCTCTGTAGTTATGAAGTACCATAGAGTGAGCAGAAGGGAGTCTGAGATTAAACAAATTTATCTGACATTCCAGGAACTAAGCCTCATCTTTGAAGTAGCCCTGGTAAATGAGTGAGTAACTGAGGAGCCCAAACTAGTGCCCAAAAGGTGTCAGCTTAATCTATATGAGACTGTAACATTATTTTTGTGTTTAGCTCATAAATAGTCAAGGCCAGGAAACAACACTGCTGGGATCAGTCATCCAAAAGAAGAAAAACACATAGTTCTTTCTTCTCTTGTTTATACAGGAGCTACTTTGGTTACAGCCTTTCTATGCTCATGTACTTTCAGAAATCTTCCTCAAATGGTGTTTACTATGTAGGTTATTTCACCCTGATTCAGTCAGTGCATTCCCGAGTTAGCACACTGCTCTGAGGCCAGCCCTGGCATATTTCTGTAAGAATACTCAAAAGGTAGCATAAGTACTTTCAAAAACATTTTTGGATGA